CTGCAAATGCATTCAATGATCTTTAGCCAAAACTATTTTCACACCTCTCCCAGATGGTTATTACAAAGACAAATAACTCTTCTGTCTGAAAAGTCTGCACAAAGCTAATCAAGAAGCTTCACTTGGGATTAACATTTTTGCTTCAAGAAAGAAGGTAATGTGGTGTTTAGATGAGAGGAAAATATTGAAAGATAGCTGAATATAAACACCCAAATCTCTCAAGGTCCGGAGTTCATAAATTGCAATCCCAGGGAAAAAATTTGGAATTCTTACAAGTAAGTTCCAATCTACCACTTCCAATGAAATCCACTGTGGGAAAAAAGAGCAAAAGACATATTTGAGTTGTAGGAGCCAGGGCATCCTCAGTCCAGTTAGAACAAAGGCTATGGCTGAGGGCCAAACTCATGTTTTAATGATTCATGAACAGGGGTGTGCTTGGGGTTGAGTGACTGTGAGAATGGGAGGAATTCTGTGAATTCTGTGAGCTGGACTGGGTAGGAGGAACAATGGCACCTGTGCAATATGCAGAGAGAGGTCTGCAGAGAGAGCACCAGTTTCTGGTCACAAGTAGCCTGTAAGTCGGTCTTGGGTCACCTGCCTCAGCTCTGATGCTGGCCTTTATTCGCCCTGGGATGTCATTGCTTCTTTCTCCAAGCTCTATCCCAGCCTACCTCATGCTTAGTAGAAGGGAGCCACAGGAAGGGTTTTACACAGATCAGTCACTTTGCTTCAAGGGCTACACATCAGTGCCTTGGTCAGACCCATTTGCATTGTTTATAGCCAATCAAGAGGATAGAGCAACTCCCTGGTACCAGCTCTGTGCATATCAATGGGAGTAGGCCAAAAGTGAACCAAAATGGAGGCAAATTGTATTCTTTCAGGGGGAGCTATCTTGGTGGTCCTCCACAGCTGAAGAATCTGCACCTCTGAAAAAGAAATCTCCAGTTAACTTGGCTACAGTTTTAGGCAAAGCATCACCTATTTATTATGTGTAAGACACTGACAAAGTATTTCCATGTAGTCCATTCATAACCACTCAGCAGTCTTCATAACAACTCCTTGAGGAAGACATTATCACTTCCACTTGGCATTTAAAGAAACTAAGAGACAAGAAATGATTTCTTTATAGAGTTTTCTGTAGCTCTGCACTGTATTAGAATCAACATGCTGTGGTCTCATCTTCTAATCCAGTGCTACTAGTATATCATTGTTGCCTACCACTTTCCATCAATAGATGACAATTTCTCTCAAAGGTGTTTAAGAAAGAGCTTATAAAAGGAATAGAGGGCTGTGGCTATATAGCATTAACGAGATGCTGGGCACTTTACAAACGTCATTTAAGTAATCCTACAAAAAGCACTATTTAATCAATACTCTTAGTTACTTCATTTTCCAGAAAAGGAAACCAAATTATAAAGAGGTTAGTAACTTGTCTAACATCAATAGCTAGAGAGGGGTGGCAGCAGGATTTAAACCCAGATGGTGTTACTGCAAAGCTATGTTTCTCCCTGTGCATCTGCTCCGATCCAGTGAGGCCAACTGTCTGTCTAGACTGTCTGCTAAATTAAAATGCCAGTACTCCTACTCCGTTGTAGTTTCTGGGACTCTGATCTAGGCCTTGTACTCATCTCCCCAATATCTTGGCTATAGCAATCTCTGCAGGTAATTCAGGAGGAAACTGCCAGTTCACACTGTGACATGTTAACCAAGAAGCTGCTTTTCCTATTTAGGAGCTAACTAACAAAATTGAGTAACTAAACAGCCATTCAGCAACATTTTTATCCTAAGTCACACTTAATATTTTTAGGTTAATATTTTTAGCATATTACTTATTCTCCAGGGTAATCTTTTCAAGGCTCATACTCAGAAACTCTCCTGTAAGGAAACTGTGCTGAAAAAGTAGTCTTATATATACTTTACACAATATTTAGCAAATGTTTTAATTCCAGAATTTTATATCCTTTCTAGATTTGCTTGTCTAGCTTTCCTATATAGTCTGCAAGTTCTTAAACATCTAAGTAGTATGCAGTATAGGTCCCATTTCACATTTAAAAAGCTAAAACTAAAATGTTAAATAACTATGCTAGATCCATAAAGCAATTTTATTCTTTAAAAATTAATAGAATTTAGGCTCTAATGTTCCCACTTTTCCACCCCAATGCCTATGTTTAAAAATTAGAGAAATAAAATAGCTAGAACAGAACAGCTCATTCAGTCTCTCATGATCCCATTTCAGGTTAATTCTCTGAAAAGTCTATCAACATTCTGACAACTGCCAGTAATACAGAGAAATTCTTCACACACTCTTGAAAGTTTTACTTATGTTTTTGTTTGATTTTAACTCTATATGGAATAAAAATCATTTGCATAAAAATCATATTATTTTTAAACTCAAAATATCTTCTACTTATAGATGTATTTTAAAAGAGACCTCCATTTTCTTCATTGCCATGCATGCATCCTCCAAAGTTTTTATGATAAACATATTTTACAAATTAGAAAATTATTTTTTCAAAGGGGGAGCAGAGCTGTTGTTATACCATAAGTTGTTAAACCTAGTATGTGTTAACAACTATAGTAAAACAGTTTTTTCAGATAAGGTCCCTGACTTCATTCAGAGGGCAAAGTGGGCAAATCTGTAAAGAAACAAAATAATTTCATCTTATATGGGGTATTCAAGTAATTTCTCCCTGAGAAGAGAGTACAAGGAATGACATAAAAGAAAGAGCTCCAGGTGAGGTTTCAGGGAAAGAGAGCAACAAGAACAAAGAACCTGGTGAGAGAGAGACTTTGCTTCTTTTGGGTCTAAGGGAAAGACCTAAACCTGAAGAGGTGGAAAGAGGGAAAACCAGATCAGGAAATGGAGGGGAAGAGGAGAAGTTAGTACAAGTAAACAGAAACCAGATTATAAAATGAGCTTGGCTTTATGTTAAGGTGGAGAAGTTATTCAATGCTTTTATGCAAAGAAGCTATGTGATCTGATTTACACTATTAAAAGTCTATATTGCTGTTGTATAAAAAATAGGCTATAAAGAAGTAGAGACAGGAAACAATGGGAGCACTCAGAAAACCTTTGTAGTAATGCAGAGAAATACTAGTAGTAGCTTCAACTGGAGATGGGAGAGGTGTGTCTTAGTTTCTTTTCTCATTGCTGAGACAAAATAATGGATGCCCAAAGTTACAGGAGGAAAGTTATTTCTGCTCATGGTTTGTAGAGTTTTCAGTCTGTAGCTGACTGGCTCCAAGAAAAGGTTGCATGGCAGAAGGGCATCACAAAGAAGAGAGAGTCCCTGGCAAGAAAGGGGGCAAGAGCAGATTAGCTCTCTTTTGTGTCCTTTACATTTCATCCAGGCTAACCTCCCTAGGACAGGTGTATCACTTGCACCCTTAGTCCTAGCCAGCATTATGCCAAACCAATCAGTGGAATGATTTAGTAATCACACATCATTAATCCCAGAACCACCTCTGAAAAGCACACCTGCTATGACCACATGAGGCTTTAGGGAGAAACATTTAGACACAGCCATATCATTCCACTCATGGTCCCCCCCAAGACTCATGCATATCCCTTTATGAACAAAGCCTTTAGTCCATCTCTAAGAGTTGCTGAAGTCCTAACAGTTTCAGCATTGCTGAAAAGTTCAAATCCAAAGTCTTCTCTGAGATTTAAGGCAACTCTTAGCTGTGAGCCTGTGTACAAATGAAAAGGAAGTTAAATTCTTCCAACATTTGCATAAAATAGACATTACCATTTCAAAAGGTACAAATAGAGAGACACAATAAAATGGGACCAAAGCAAGTCAAAATTGCAGCATGGCAAACATTCTGTCCTGTAGTTCCATGTCCAGCATCTGAGGCATTCTGCAGCCAGATATGAACTCCAATGGGCTTGGATGGCTCCATCCCTGCAATACTTAGTGACTGTAGTCCCTACATCTTCTCTCCTGGGCCAGCTCTGCTCCCTCCTTGCAATTTTCCTCAGATAATACCCCTTGCTGCCTTCTCCAAACTTTCAGCTTCCACAGCCACAGCTTCTTCACATACTGCTCTCTAAAGGGCACGCTTCCTGTTCTCCAAGGCTTTCTTTTGAAATCTGGGAGTAAGTTTTCTTTCTTTTTTTTTTGTCTTTTTGAGACAGGGTCTTGCTATGCAGTTCAGGCTGACTTGAGCTCCCTTTGTAGCCCAGGCTGGTCTCGAACTCACAATGATTCTCCTACCTCAGCCTCCTGAGTGCTGGGATTACAGGCATGCACCACTACACCTTTCTCTTCATGAGAAATAAATACCGAGTCTTTTGAAATTTAATATGGACCCCTAGAAGACAAATTTAAAGCTTAGCAAAAGCATGCAGAGTTATAGAGGACTGAGCTTCAAGTGCAGTCACCTTCTTCCCATGCCCACCCCACTCCAGCTAATGACAGAAAAGTTCTGAAGTAATATAAACAAGGATAGAGGTTATTAGAATCTTGGGATCCCTTTAGGACATGTGAGTGACTCTGTCCTGGGAATCAAATAATGTTCTTAATGATTTTGATGTAGGCAGAGAGTTCAAAAATTCCAAAATTCCACATTTTTCCTGCCCTAAATCATCAAGGCACTCCCTTACCAGCAGCTGCATTAGGGGAGTGCTTAAGGAAATGCACTTACCATCCATCTTCTAAAAATTCAGAAACTTTCTAAACACAAGAATCATGCATAACCACAAAGACTTCCACAGCAATGCTCTTTGACAAAGTAAAGGACCAACTTACTCTTACAAAACTCTTTGCTAGGCAAAGAGTAAAACTAGCATAGCTGTTTCAAGAGATAAAAGAAAGGGAGTGCTTTGAAGTAAGCACATGAAATATGTGTTTCACTTTGGTTTTATTCATTACTATAACCCCAGTGATTAGAAAAAAATCTAACAAATAATAAATAATCATTATATATTAATTTAATAATAAGCAAACAAAGATGTTTCTCTTTTGAACAACAACAACAACAAAAAATAAAGTCACTCTGTTCTTCCTAGGATATTCAGCAATTATTCACAGACAATGAAAACTTTTCACAACCCCAGCAACTCCAGTACCATCAACGGTTTCATCCTCCTGGGCTTCCCCTGCTCCAGGGAGGGCCAGCTCCTCTTCTTTGTGCTCTTCTCTGTGATCTACCTCCTCACCCTCATGGGCAATGCTTCCATCATCTGTGCTGTGCGCTGGGATCAGAGGCTCCACACACCCATGTACGTCCTGCTGGCCAACTTCTCCTTCCTGGAGATCTGGTATGTCACCTCCACAGTCCCCAACATGTTGGCTAACTTCCTTTCTGACACCAAGGTCATCTCTTTCTCTGGGTGCTTTCTGCAGTTCTATTTCTTCTTTTCCTTGGGTTCCACAGAGTGCTTCTTCCTGGCAGTTATGGCATTTGATCGTTACCTTGCCATCTGCAGGCCTCTGCACTATTCATCCATTATGACTAGACGTCTCTGCACCACTCTTATAGTCAGCTGCTGGGTACTTGGTTTCCTCTGGTTCCCAGTACCCATCACCATCATTTCACAGATGTCCTTCTGTGGGTCCAGGATAATTGATCATTTCCTATGTGACCCAGGTCCTCTATTAACTCTTACCTGTTCCAGAGCCCCAGTGATGGAGTTCTTCTGGACTATTATAAGTTCTGTGCTCCTGTTTATTCCTTTCCTCTGCATCTCGGGGTCCTATGCACTGGTTCTCAGAGTTGTGTTGAAAGTTCCTTCAGCAGCAGGGCGAAGAAAGGCTTTTTCTACTTGTGGGTCACATGTGACTGTAGTTTCACTCTTCTATGGCTCAGTGATGGTTATGTATTTGAGCCCAACATCTGAGCATGAAGCTGGAATGCAAAAGCTTGTTACCTTGTTTTATTCTGTAGGAACCCCACTCATTAACCCTGTGATATACAGTCTAAGAAACAAAGATATGAAACATGCCCTACAGAAATTTCTTGGAACATGAAAGTAAAAACTTCAATCCCCCAAGAAAAAATCTTCACAAGCAGCTCAACACCAAAAATAATAAGAATCTAACTTAAACTGGGAAAAAGGTATGAATAGACAAGTTTCACAAAAGGATATACAAATGATCAGCAAGTATATTGCATGTTTTCATCTCTATGTGGATGTTAAAGAGTTGGTTTCATAAAAGTAGAAAATAGATATGGCTTACCAGAATGTAGCAAGAGTAAAGAAAGATATGAAGAGAATATAGTTAGAAAGTGATTGCTTAACCGCAATTGAGTGGATTAAGAAATTCGTGAAGAGGTGACTGGATTGTAAGGGGCACTAATCACACCAATGGTGTTATGGTTTGTGTCTGTGTGTCCCCCCAAAGCCTCATGCAGCCATGGGTCAAGCTTTTAGAGTTTGATTGATTATGGGTGTGAGAGCTACACCCACCCTGGGGTGGATAGTTTGCATATGTAAGGGAGAGGAAGAGGCTGCTTGAGGCCATTCCTCCCTTGTGTGTGCTTGTTGATCCTGCTGTGTTCTGCCTCCATGAGCTGTAGCCTTCTGCCATGTGCCATTCTGCCTTGTAACATGCCAAGTATGGACTGAAACCTCCACAAACTGTAAGTGAAATAAACCTTTCCTTCCTTAATTTTGGGCATCAAGTATTTTGTCCCAGCAACAAGAGAAAAGTAACCAAGACAGATGGGTTAGGTAAATGTGCTGTTAGAAGGCAGTGTTTAGTTGGAGGAAGTGAGTCACATGGGTATGACCTGGGGGACTAGACCCGGTCCCTATGCCCTTCCTCTGTGGAGCTATTCTCCTGCTTTCTACTACAAAGACACCATGAAGTAGCAGTTTGCTTCATCACATGCTTCACCATGATGTTCTGCATCATCTCAGACCCACATAAATGGAACCAGGAAAGTGTAGACAAAGACACCTGAGACAAACAAATTATTTTCTAGTTTAAGTTATGTATGTGAAGCATTTGTCCCTGCAACAGGAAAGCTGATGAATACATAGATACATGGGCATGCAATAGTGGTATAATTGAAAAAGAGGAGTTAACTTCTAATATTCTACAGCATAGTAGAATAACTATGGTTAGTGATAATTTCATATTTCAAAATAACTAACTGAAAGAGTGTTAAATATTTTCAACATAAGGAGATGGTGAATGATTAAAGTGATATTATTAGGCAATTAATACTGAATTGACCACTACATATTGTACACATGTGTTGAAATGTCACACTGTACTTCATAAATATGTACAACTATTATATATTAATTAAAATCCATCTTTTTTTCCATTACCAGAAATCAAACTTAAAATCCATCTTAAAAAAGAAAAAAAATCCTTGCACAAATGGCCTATCTTCATACTTTTCCAGGCAAAAGATCTAAATAAAAAATTGTACTAATCTAATAATTGTTCATCCTATAGTACTTAGTCAATACATATAATCATACATATATATGTACAAGAATATCCATTGCTGCATTGTCTATAACAGCAAATTATTGGAAACTATTAAATGTTCAAAAATTATAATTTGTTTAGATTTAATCATGATATGTCCACATAATGAACTATGCCTTGCTTTTCATTTTAAAGAAAAGAACACCAAAATATTAACAAACATAGAGGCATAAATAAAACAACATAAAAATAATACAGAAATTCAGACAAGGTGAAGTGAAATTAGCAATGGTGGTTGTATTATGTATTATCTTCAAATTAGTTACTCAGATAAAACAAATATAGGCATGTGAGACTGACCAAACAAACATTAACTGTTCCTTTCAATAAAGCAATAGAAATTAGTAGTTCAATTACCTTATCTATCTTGTGTATATCTAAATTCATCTTTCTTTCTTTTTCTTTCTTTCTTTCTTTCTTTCTTTCTTTCTTTCTTTCTTTCTTTCTTTCT